AGCAGTTATCGTTTTATTTAATGTTTTTTACGGGAGGGATAAACCATTTTTTGAGCTGGTATAGCTTAAGTCAAAGAGAAATACATATCTGAATTTGTTTTTTTTTTGTAAATTGCCGACCACCTAGGCTTGAGCAAAAAAGTATTAATTCACTAGTTTTTCTTTCACGGAGCAGTGATGCCTCCTCCAATCGTCTGCCGGTTTCCAGCTGGAGTACAAACTCTTCTGACATATCAATCCATTGAATAAAAGTTTTGAATTTGAACAAGGAGTAAACGGGATTTCGTTGTCTACTTTCGAATTTTTATGATCTGTTACAATGATGTTACTCAGGTAACATCTAAAATAAATAATATATTCTCCGGGAAGTTATTTTTTCAGCTTTATTAGAGACAGATATAGATTTTTGACCATTAGTAGTCATCAAAAAATTAGAGAAAAAGCGGGTTATTATCGAAACAAACGCTCCGGTAAACAAAATTCACGCTTCTGTATTTTGACAAATAACTTCACATAGAGTCTATTTTTATAAACTAGCAATTGTAATAATCAATTTTCTATCAATCAACATACAATAATGAAAACAGCAAATATGTAGTCCTGTAGTTGACAAGATGCAGAAAGACTTGAAGCATGATTTCTTTCTTTCTTTCTTATTCCACTTTCTCTTCTCAGAATTTTATACTGAATGAATCAATCTGCTCACCAAGATCATTATAAAATATAGTGTTCCACTAAAGTGGTATTCGACTGAATGATTGTTGCATCAGATACTGTCATTTTTTTATATAGAACAAGTAATACAACCGTAAGCGGGTGACACATTCTATTTATACTATTAGTTGACAATGGTTAAATATGCCTAAAACATCCAACATCTTTTCTTTCTTTTATAGACAACGATTACAGTCACACATGCATCAAGTAGCTAATGAATTCTTTGTAAGTGTATTCGTCTAGTTCTCCAGAATAAAATAGCATGGTTTCCTATTGTATCTTAGCGAATTCAACTTTTTAGGATGGCCTTCTATTAACGGGTGGCGTTCTAAACTGATCTTTCAAACCAAAATTTTCTAAAAGTTTTCGAAGCTCACAAAAAGCTTAAAATAACAATTTTTTCGTTTCAAACAGTTAACTGATTGGTACTCGGATAGAGATGTCGATCAGGTAGCTCTGTGATTAGAGCATAGACACGGAATGTCGTGGTCCTGGGTTCCTGGTCTAATCACACAATTTTCCTTCACACATTCAACAATTCAACAATCCAAAATATAATTTCACGGTTTCTAGATTTCGAAAAAAGTAGCGTAATTGATTGTATTAGAAGGCCATGATCTTGTCCTTCTAATATGGATTTTACAGATTTGTCTCAGAGGTGACCTTCTATTCTGATGAGCAATAATTCTTTTTTCTCTTTCAATGAGTGAGATATATACAGTACATCAACACCCTTTACCGATATTTCATACTTATTCTTCATTTATAGAAATAGTCCTATAAGTAAAATAAAAACAAGACAATCGAAAGAGTGTGATGCGTGTTATAAAAATGAGTATATGTGATGGAAAAAAAAAATAACGAAAGAATAATAACTTGAATGATTTTTGCAACAATTTTGTTGCTTTATGAGCGTTGATATCACCTAAGTGTAATATACATATAACCACTCTGAATTCTAAGGAGTATCATAAATATAAAGGTGGAATATAAAAGAGACAAATAAAATTGTATAAATCATTCTCTCATAATCAACACGTATTTGAAGGAGAAAATATTTATTTCACTAATCCACTTAAAATACTTACCTTTAAATTTAACGTAAGTATCAACAAGGTTTGTTCCAAAGTCGTTGTACGTATTCTCAGATAAACTCAATGTACATGGGCCAACGAATTTTAAATTGTTAAACTTCATTTCGCTTAGTCGAACGCTACCCGACCTGCCCACATAACTCTACTACCATAGTGAAATTCCGTGACGAAATTTGACGTTTTATTCACACTACTTCTTTAAAATAAAGTTAGAAAAGGATATTCCGTATTTTCTGAACAAAATATCAGCAGAATCCAGTCACATTTCATTTGATTCTGAAAAGTTTGCTCTACAGTTGCACATGTAGCATAGCTCTGAAAATTCTTTCATAAAAAAATTAGACGAAGAATAAAACTTCAAATTTCATCGTGGAATTTCACTACAGTAACAGAATTTTTACGATTACAAACAATGGTTATAGGATCTCAGAGTTAGAAGTAGACCCAAAAACGAACTGATTCCGAAATCGTACTGTGCTCGAAATCTATTCACACTTGAATACTGATTTCTATGACATTTGAGCAGCATCATAAGTATTTTTCATGTTAGGTACTTTGAATTGATTATGAAAATCCCAAATGCAGACATTGGGATACCAACGACATGCTAGCAGAATTCTTAGGAGATCAGCTGATTCTAATTAATCAATCAATCAGTTTTATTTTAACACGAACGTGTGTAGGCTGTTAAAAAAAAGAAAAACGTAAATGAATGTCATATACAGAAAAAGATAAGAAATATGATACAAAGTCTTTGAATTCTGAAATTTTCAGTGCATGCCGTGTAAAGTTGTAAATAAATATATTACATCAAAGAATTTTTTTACAATAAAGAGTGATTGCAGACATAGATTTCATTACTAAACATTCATTAGTAATTTCTCTCCTATATTGTTTAGAAATCGACAAGATGAAATCAATTATGGTTGCTCTAGTTTTAATTGCTTGTTTTACGGTTGTTAGTTGTAATTTTATTAGTCGAAAGTAAGTTTCCCATGTATATTAATTACAAGAAATAATTGACTCATCATATTGCTGTGTTTAGATGTAAATGTACAGCTGTGTCGAACACTGTTCATTATCCATTTCATGACTGGGAGCAATCGTCGTGCAAATTTTGTTCATGTAGTGATCCAGCAGTGGTAAATTGTCAAGCTGCTTGTAAACGTATTGTTCAAGACTATGCTGAATCAGGATGTGGTAAAGTTGTTAAAGGATCAATAGTCAAACATAAATGGGATGCTGGCAACTGTGGCGGAGGAATTTCGTCCGAAGAATATACATGTGCATAAAAGAGAATATTCCATTTGACTATCAGAATACATTGATCGGTTTCGCTTATAGCTTGATGATATTGTAAAGTTTTATTTGTATACATGCAAGATAAATTTTATTTCGCTTATGTTGATATCATACAATAAAGTGAGATCGGATAGATGATTTATATTAGTATCTATCTTAATAGAATTTCGGTAACTCAGTAGTTAGTATTGTTGTCATCTACAGCACCGTTAAAAGAGTAAGTATAAAATAGTGCTCGTGAGAGCAAATCCTTGACAACAATTTTTACTATCACACTTTCTCAACTAAAAGTGCCTGATCAAACGCTTCGCATTCAAATTGAAGAAACGTATTCGATGCATCAGTGTTCAGGTAAATGTTTCGTCAAGATCGATATGTTTTTTAATATCATGTTCATCAGAATGATAAACGTTCATAAAATTTTCTAAACCTATCATTAATAAAGAAGCGATCCCTGTTTAATATGCAACGCCTGTACGAAACTTTTATTCGTCAGGAATGAATTAGCTTTGAAGTAATCGAACTAGTGACACCTTATGATGTAGAAATCGTCATTCATACTCAGCATATTTTACTCTGTAAAACAGTTCTTTTGTTCATTTGTAATACGGCTTGCCCACGTAACGCGACACTTTGCTTATCAAGTTTTTTTGGAATTTTTTTCAGTAGAAAATCGATAGGGGCACATCATTAGACGCAGCTTTTCATACTGATCACGAATCTGACTTTTTTTTTTGAAGAAAAAAATTAATCTTCAATATTAAAATTTTAATTTAAAATTTTTAAAAGATATAATTTCAATTTTCTGACCTAGAAATTTTGTTCACAAAATTTTAAAGACATACCATTGAATAGAGAATTCAGTTTCAACAAAATGGCTCATTTTGTTGTGAGATCTATTTTTCAGTCGAGACACAGTGGCTGCTTGAACGTTTCAACTTCCGCCTTGGTCTGAAAGCCTCAGAGAATTTTTTGAACTTTATTTTCAACTGGAGTCTTTTCAGAAAACCCAGAACTACACAGACTATAAGTGTGAAGTTTCTTGAACAACGTTTAGTGCCTCAAAATGGTGCGACAAAAAAGGATGTCAGTGTTACCAAAAATGTTACAGCGTTACTTTACAAAATCGGCTCTTCTAGACGTGCGGAAGGGTGAGTTCTGTAATATACGTTTAAGCACTATCGTCGCTTATACGATATGGCTCTTCAGTTGGTATAAACTTTATTTGAAGAAAATCTTAATACAAACTGGTCCTCTTTCTTTTTGTCTTTAGAAAGTTTCCTCTGAAACCTTTGAAACTAAGGACTTCCCGAAAACGGTGGTTTTTGGACTACATTTGTTGAATTAAAAGTGTTTTGAAAACCACCATTAGGACACAATATTTTAAATAACATATTCGGATTCAGCGTCGAAAGGCAAAAAAGAACTAAAGCTTCAACTCAACATTTCAATTTGACAATTTAATTTACAATTTAAAAAATTCAAGTTTTTCTAAGCTGAATGTAGCTGAACTCAGCTAAGAGATAGAGACTCAGTTCAGACGTGGTTGGGTAGAGAATTAAAAACTGAGCATACTTAGGGGTTTGACAATGTCCTCGTTTTATATGATCTTGGTTTCTATGGATGTTTTCTAAATTAGAGGGGAAAAGTCGGAATTATGCTCGTATTTCTCAGTTTTCTTCAACAGAACTCAACTTTTATGTAATAAAAATATTATATTCGGAATCAGGATCAAAAAACGAATTGATTGGTATGCATTTCAAAATGTTTACTTGATTTTCATGTCTATGATGAAAACCTCGATGATTTTTCAACTTTTGACGTTGAAAAAATTTAATGTACTCGGATAGGATATAGATGTATATCAGTAGATTCGAATTCTGAAGTTCAATTTGTAATTCTCCATCCAACCACGTTTTTGCTGAGTCCTGTCAGCAATTGTAAGTTAAATTGAAATGTTGAGTTAAAGCTTAGTTTTTTCTGCCTTTCGACGCTGAATCCGAATATGTTATTTAAAATGTTGTGTCCTAATGGTGATTTTCAAAACACTTTTAATTCAACAAATGTAGTCCAAAAACCACCGTTTTCGGGAAGTCCTACTTTCAAAGGTTTCAGAGGAAACTTTCTAAAGACAAAAAGAAAGAGGACCTCGAGAAACCCTTATAAACCGTGCGTTTTATGTGTTGTTTCTGTATAAAAGCAATTTTTGAAAACCTTGCCAGCGATTACACGACAAAGAATTTCCGACAAAAAGTTTTGCTAGCGAAGGTTGTAGCTGATGTCATTCTGCATGAAATAAGAGGAAGAGAATTTCAAAACAAAATTTTGAACAGAAGTTAAATAAAAATGAAACAATTTTTCATTTTAAAAGTTTTTAATTAATACTATTTTAAAGTTTTTACCATTAGAAAGGAAAACTGTTCCGCTTATTCCAAGTAGAATTCCATAGGGAACAACTTTTATTGCAACAGTTTCTATGAGCTTTTATGAGCAGCAAAATTCACATATCATATTAGAGCAAAAATTATCTAGTACAGTACAGGCAAGGCTTTATCACAGCAATCTCTGTGCTACCTTTATTGGGCAATTGGGTGAAAGGGTTATAATAAGACAGCTGGATGAATACTTGTGAAATGATCATTCATTCAGACTTCTTTTATCTCATCCAAAAAACTTTCTGCTTGCTACTCATCATCTTGGTCGACGTGCATCGTTACGTCATTTATTCTTCAAGTTTTGTAATTTTTATAGCGTTAGTGAGACGTTTTTGCTTTCCGATTGTGATTCGTGAGTTTACCTTTGTTCCGTCATACGTAAAGGGACTGCGAGTCAAAATATTCAATATAGTCAATATTCGTCTTAAGAGCCATGACAAATAAGCCACGACCAACCGTGCTCAATCGACTTTCTCCAAACTTGATTCCAGTTACACAGGTCAAAAGTGTCATCAATACTAAGTTTTTTATTGCAAATCACAGCTCTACACAAGGAGGAAAAAGCACACTTCTGTACTTCTCGGTACTTCTTGATACTTCTTCGTACTTTTTTGTAAGATGCAGCTCATTCAAAGATGTAAAAAAATAGATTTGGTTGATTTATACACCATTCGATAGAGAATCGGACGACAATCACGAATATCACCATCCCGGCTACCAGAACCCTTTCCTCGACGAGAAAATTCCAAAATACGGAGCGATGGTCAAAAACCGAAAAAATACCCGTTTTTCGAAAAATGCCTATAACTCCACCGAGAAAGATCGTAGAGATTTGCGGTTTCGATATTCAGATTCATCATCAAAAACTGAAACTAGTCATGTAGTCTTCAGATCTCCAAGACGAGGAATGGGTTTTTGCGGAAGGCCGAAACTACAGCGACGAAAATGCGACAACTGTTTTTGCAAATGCATCAACTCCGCCTGGAGAGGTCGTAGAGCCAAAAGTTTTACACCGTTCGATTCGCCGTTTAAAGCTCTACAAAGTTATATATCCACTTTTTCGAGATTTGTTTTTGTTCAAAAGATATTCGACCTACATCGAATAGGACAGCACTTTCGCCCAAATCCTTCAGATCATCGGGTTCCAGACGAGTCAGTTCTCATGAGAGAGAGCTGAAACTATGGTTTTAGAGGTAGAACGTGATGCTCAATCCGATGGACTCACTTTCAGAATCTATAATGTTTCCAAGGTGGGTCTCTGGGGACCAGGATCTCCAGAGGCCCTCTCAAAATCCTAAGACCCTGAAAGTGATCACACTCAATAGAGAATCAAATTGTGAGCAGAATGAGATCAACCAGAGCCCTCTGCGATCATATCTCGCGAAGTTATGAGCCGAGCACAGATGTGAAATCGAAAAGCCTCGAGTTTTTCAGTTTTTCTAGCTGTAATTCCACGGGATGTGATCGTAGAAGGCTCTGGTTGATCTCATTCTGCTCACAATTTGATTCTCTATTGAGTGTGATCACTTTCAGGATCTTAGAATTTTGAGGGGGTCTCTGGAGATCCTGGTCCCCAGCGACCCACCTTGGAAACATTACAGATTTCTGAAAATTTCTTTTTATAACTTAATTTCTATAGAGAAAGTGTGACAATCAAAACAATGAGAAAGAAGAAAACAAAATGAGATAGTCATATGCACACGCGTATTTATATTTATAATACGCTCAGAGAGTGACTTCTTTTGCTAATCACTCTATAACGGAAATAAACACTGTGAAATTGATAACACACACTCACACAAGGATAATCAATAAAAAACTGTAGAAGAAGACTAATAAGTTGTTTGAAATTTTATGACAGAAAGTGACTTTTTTGTTTGAATTAAATAAAGACGCAGAAGTTTCGGAAGAAAAAAGGAAAAGGAGCAGAGAATTTTTTCAGCTATAGTCCACTGACACAGAGTAAAGAATCGACCTACCTTCATTAACAGTCACTGCCTGATACGAAAACAATAACTGGAAATGCAAAAAATGGGAAAGAGTTTATTTTTTGTTTTTGAATTAAAAAATTTTTTTTTTCGTCCTTCGAAGTTTGTAACGCCAAGAAACACAAATAAGACGTTTCAAAAAATAAACGCGAAAAAACTTATCGTATTTCTTGCGTTTTTGAATTAAGATAATCTGCTAAAGAGTCGTGAATAGCAAATCATCGATAAAAACGCCAAATCAGTAACCGTTACAAAATGGACTGCTTCCATTTCAAGAGCATACTTCTCCTATTTTCTAAAGATGAGCTGCTTTTTGATCATTTCATGAATAACAATACTCTAACATTCCTTATCTTGCTTTAAATCGTTCTTTCGGCAGAGTATGACATTCGTCTCCACGTCTTCACAAAAACATTTCGTAGAAACACCAACAACTAAAAAAAGTAACCCAAGAATCGTTGGTTGGTATCGTTTTGCACAGTTTCCCGTGGCCTGAAACGTAGGCTTTTCGTCAGTATAATTTCTTATTTAGAAATGTGAAGGAGTCAGATGCACAGTTCAAGTGAGAAATCTACAATGAGGGCATTACTTGAATGAGTGACAAGCTCTGAGTTGCAGAGGTAGAGGTTTTTGTATCCAAAAATTATAACTGATCTAATATCGAATCAAGTCAGAGTAAATCTGTGACAACTAAAAGCAGCAATCTAGTGTTTCTTTGGGCATAATTAACTTTTTCATGTGTCTTCTATTTTTTCCTCTTCACAACAACTACTATAATCACATGTTACAAATAATTTAAAAAGTGTTTCAGTCATATTCTCAGTACAAACGTTGTATGTGTCTTTCTTCAATTAGCACCAATGTCAATTAGTATTTTAACTTCTGATGGATCAGATACTAAGGCTTCAAATCCATCTTTGACAATATCATCCAGCTTGATTTTACGTGTAATAAGCGCTTCAACATTCATCTGTTTACTATCAATAAGTTTAATTACATCTGGAAATACATTTCGAGAGGCACATGTTCCTTTTATTGTTATTTCACGCTTGACCAAATCAAGTGCATTTACTGTCACAGGTTTTTCAAACAGAGCAATCAACACAGCTCTTCCACCATTTCTTAGAGATGCAATACCAGTTGTAAATGTCGATTGAACACCAGCTGCATCAATATAAACATCTGCACCTAGACCACCGGTATGTTTTTTAATTTGTTGTGAAATATTTTCATCCTTACCATTAATAATTAATGTTGCACCTAATTCACGTGCTTTCTTAAGACGTTTCTCTGCAATGTCCACAATGATAATACGTGTAGCACCAGCAGCCATTGCAGCCAAAAGACACAGAAGACCAATTGGACCAGCTCCAAAGATTACACATGTTTCCCCTAACTGTAAATTACTTTGTCTGACGGCATAGACAGCAACAGCAGATGGCTCGACCAACGCACCCTGTTCAAAGCTCATACTATCTGAAATATTTATAAAGAACATATACGTTAAAAATCTATCAGATTTTCACTTCCCATCTTCTTTCAGATTTCCTTACACTTCGTCTTACTCGGACACGCGACAGATACAGAAAAAAATGCAACAAAACCGGATGGAAGAGGCACAGTAGAGAATTTTCAATAGGCACGTGGACGTTTGGTTTCAAAGAATCTGTTCAGTTCGAAACAATTTTTTATAACTTTTTCCGTGTGTTCTTATCCGCGGAGTCGAAGACAACAAGCAAAAGCGGATTTCCTAAGCGTTTTCTAGAGATCGGATCCCTGGACAACCTCTGACAAATCATGAAAAAAAAATTTTAAATGTTAAATTTTTATCCGTACAATCTATACATATTCTGAATCAGCGTGAAAAACTGCGCCTAATGATGCGCATTTTAGTCTTTTTCAAGAAGAAATTATGGTAAAGGCATTTTGAGTAAAAGTTTTCTCATTCATTTTGGCACAAAACAATGTTTTCTTTTAGAACTCTCATTTTTACATTTTTTCTCACTTCTACTCATGAGAAGAGTAGATTCCTCGATTATGTAACCGATTTCGAGCGGAAATGTCACAGGTGCGCCTGCTCTATACAGAAAACTTACCTGGTATTTTATGTACCATATAATCTTCAACAATTACATATTTTGCAAATGCACCATTGGCCATAAGACCAATAAAACCAAGTGGCTCTGATAGATTATATTCACCTTTTGATGTAAACACACTATTTGGATTTTTATAAGTTGGTTCTACTACAACACGATCACCTAATTGAATATTATCAGAGTGAACATCTTGTCCTATTTCTACAATAATTCCAGAGAATTCATGTCCCAGTGTTGTTACACCACTATGTCCATTCAATGAATAAGGTTTTTCCTGAGGAGGAATTAACAGAGGTCCATGTAAATATTCATGTAAATCTGATCCACAGATACCAGTAAATTGTACTTCTATTTTAACTTGATTTTTCTTAAGAATTGGAATAGCTGTTTCTTCCACACGAATATCTTTTGCTGCATACCAACGAGCAGCTTTCATTGTAGTTGTACCGTTCATATCTTCAATTACTTTTTAACTTTTTAAATTGCACTAACAGTAACAAATCATAGAATAACAAGAAGAAAGATTATCTTTTGAAACACAAATTCAACGTATGTGAATGTATATATATATGTATATATGATTCGTATGGTACTGCTCTTTCTATAGTACATATAGACATGCACACAGCAGACATAGAACGACAGAAAAAAAGAGAAAGAGATTTAAAAGGAAATAAATAGTATTATATCATTCAGGGTTATGATCTCAGCTTCAGTGCCTATGAAAGATAAATGAATAATATTCTTTTTCTTCATTGACTGTGTATAGCCTATACGCAATCAACGAAGAAAAAGAATCGTTTCGGAAACGACAAGTCTGTACTTCATATCACGATTTCATTGTAAAAAGAAGAAGATAACGCTTGCCTTCTTCTCTTCTGACATTTCATAGAATTTTCAAAAAACATAAATATCATATGATACAAGAAAGAAGAAGGACCATCAAATCGTCAATAAATTATGTTTTAGAGTAGAGAAAATCGAGCTCGAGAAGAAAAACGATGGTTTCTCGACACATGCAAGAAGAAAATAGTAATATGGTTAAAGTCATCTGTAACTCCCTATTATCATATCAAACTATCGGCAACGAAAACGATGGATAGTTTTGAATTTTCAAATTTAACGGCAAAAAACCGTAGATCTCTAGCTCTCTCAGGAAGCCAAACACTTCCACAGTGCAAAAGCAATTTCTCCAGCTAAAATAGTCACTCTTCGTACGTACCTTAATCGGTTCGTAAGCCTTGATTTTGGACTCAAATGAAAGATCTCAACTTAGTACTTTCTATTTTGATGAACTTGTTATCAAAGGTCATTCGGTTCTCTCTGGCTTCATATTACCTATATATGAGTTTTTGAAATCTTTTCAATGTACAATAGTTGGAAAAGGAAGATTTCGAGAAGTTAAAAATTAGCCACCACTGGGTTTAAATAAAAAGACTGCGCTGTTCTCTTAAAAAAATGTCCAAGTTTTGTTAAAGAAAACGTAACTGAATGTCGAAAAAATAGATTTTAACACGTATGTAGTAAAAACCTTCATTCTACACAGTTATAATTCGAAAGATCTTTAGAGCTGTTTGATAAGTTAAGTCATTTGTGATTGAAGACTGGTGCTAGCAGACTCTGAATTTTAATAGGAAGGTATTTTATAGAATGAATATTTCGTAAAAAGAAAAGAACTCTAAGCATGAAAAATGTATCGGGTATCGCCCGATGCAGCTAGATATACTAGATACAAAATGCGATACATCTACATGCATAAAAAAGAGAAAAAGTTGAATCCGGTTATCAGCCGATACATCTAGATACAGCCGATTCATTTCTAAATGTATCTAGTTATGTATCTAGTAACGATATTAACCCGATTCATCGGGCAATATATCGAGAGATGAACCTAATTGTGTAATGGCTGCAGCTGAGAAATCGTTTATCGCCCGATAAAGCGGCCGATACATCGTACAATGTATTGCGCGATGCATCGTGAGATATATCGATCGACTCATCTACTTGAACACCGTTTTAAGTCAATTCCATTCCATCCTATCGTTAAAATCGGGCGATGCATCTAGTGTAAGGCAATTTTCAACTAGATGCAACTAGTGAGAAATCGCCTTGTTCTAAACGAGGAGAAACAGTAGTTATCATTTTGCACCATGAAGTTCAAGTTGTGTAAAGCTAATCTTCTAGGCTCAAGTTTGGGAAACATCTCCTTCACAGTGAAAATTCGGCAAAATCACTTTTGTTAAGCTAATTTTTAGTTTTACACCACAAACGAAGTACTTCTCAAGCTTGAGTTTGGAACAGGATGCGTAGCAAATTTAGTTTTCTAAATTTTATCTGCTAGGCTCAGCTTTGTACAATTACACGCCAATAAAATCATTCGATTCATGATCTGTGGTAGCAGACTAGTGATAATAGTGCTATAAGAGACATACAAAAGTGATTTACAAGTCGGTCCAGGACTGTTGCCTATATATAGGCTTCCCGTCCCCAAAGGGTCATTAGATGTATCTGATTCTTATTGTGTTCTATCAACCATAATTTCAGACTGGCTGCATCGAATATTGCATCGTATAATCGGATAAAACTCGATTTTTTTTACTCTTTTATCTAGTTAATTAGAAATAAGATTGCTTTTTTATTCGTAAAAAATTGTATCTATAGCTAGACGTTTCAATTTATTTGCTAAATTTTCATCAGTAGCCAGACAGAAAATTAAAAGTATAACATTAAATTCATAATTAAAAACATAATAAAGTATTAACGTTTAACA